GCTGCGATACGTCGAATTCAGCTACGCTATTCACGTAGCTGAATTTGCGTATCTTAAATCGACTCCCCCCTGTAGTGTAGATGTAGCCATACACATCAAGACGAAGACAAGAGTATTTGTCTTGCTTTTCTTGTTTGTTAAATAACTATTAACAGTAATGTCATGGGAAAGCTATGATAAAAAGGTGTCACACATTTTTTCATGAATGTAGTAAAGACTGTATCATTCATAGTTCAAGGAAGTTCACAGTTATGGGTTAGCTTCCCAGAAGGCTTAGTCTTCAGCTCTTACCAGCCTCACCTTTCCCATAATAACTTTCCTCCATTCCCAAGGATTGTAGCTGTTACTGAGGGAGAAGGAGAGCCAGATAGCACAGGTCCAATTCACTGAAAGCTTTGAAGATCAACACAGGATTTGAAACTCATTTTGGTATTTGATGGGTAAATAGTGAAGCGAATGGAGCGTGAGTGTGATGTGATGATCAACAGGCACACTGTTCAGTGTTGCACCAGGTGGAGTTTCTCTGTGGTTTCATTCCCCAGTGCATGACAATAGTATAATATCTCTCAATACAACAGCACACATATTACAATAGTATTTTATAATACTACTACTATGTAATGGTACAGCATCTTTCATCTATAGATTTGAAGCATTTTACAGGAGGTGAGGAAAGCATTATTATCCCCATTTTACACATCCGTAAAATGAGAGACAGATTAAATGAAACATTAGCAGTAATCATAATAGTATATTATTGCAATGTACTGAGAAATAAAACCACAGGTAGTGAAGAAATTCCACATGGTATAACATGCAATACACCACCCGCTGACCAACACAGGGTGACAAAAACACATCACTACCATGCTCCATTCACCTCTATTCTATAACAGTCACCACCAATTACGTTATTTGAACTGGACTTAAACTTCCATCTTTTACACCGTGTAAAAGAGGTGATATTTCATGCACTGAGGATACTAGTAGCTAAAAAATTTAAGATCTTCCTTCATCAATGAAATAAAAACTAATTTATTTATTAAAAACATTTATTCAGAAGAGCTACTTAGGACTCCATTTACAACAGCACCTAGCTTGTAACCATATTAACATTACAAATGCATTACTAATCAATCAAAACATTATAAATATCAACTTCAGCCTCTCAAAAAGGAATGAATACAATTAAGGATATGCAAAATAGCTATTCAAAAATAATGTTAGTAATTGACTGCTCATTTCCAGTATTGAAAATTCTTTAATTGGAGAAGACTACTATCCTCTCACATCAGGAAAGACATGATGGTCTCCAAGCAAGATTTTAAAAAATCCTACATTAATATATATTACCAAATATCCTCATGTTTTCAAATGGTCACTCTGTTAAGTTAAGCTATGTGGATCAGCATACTAATTATTTTAAATACATCAGTGTATCAAAAGATTATTCTATCAATATATACAAACAATCTGCAAAATGTGATCCCATTATTCTATTGATAAAAATTGTCCACTTGGTATATT